AAGTTTTTGCTATACAAATATAAGGAAAATCAATGACCCCCGGGGCTGGGCCAATTTTGACCCCAGGGCTTTTATTTGAACAAACTTGGAAGACACCAATAAGAACATGTTTCATGCTAAATATCTTAGCTCTAGCTCTTTGAGTTCTTTAAAAGAAGATTTTTTAAGTTTTTACTATATGCATATAGGGAAAATCAAACACCCCCTGGGGCGGGGCCAATTTTGACCCCAGGGCTTTTATTTGAACAAACGTGGTAGACACTCATTAGAATATGTTTCATGCCAAATATCTTAGCTCTAGCTCTTTGGGTTCTTTAAAAGAAGATATTTTAAGTTTTTATAATATGCATTTAGGGAAAATCAAAGACCCCCTGGGGCGGGGCCAATTTTTACCCCAGGGCTTTTATTTGAACAAACTTGGAAGACACTCACTAGAAGATGTTTCATGCTTAATATCTAAACTCTAGCTATTTGGGTTTTTTCAAATAAGATTTTTTAAGTTTTTGCTATACACATATAAGGAAAATCAATGACCCCCGGGGCGGGGCCAATTTTGACCCCAGGGCTTTTATTTGAACAAACTTGGTAGACACCCATTAGAACATGTTTCATGCTAAATATCTTAGCTCTAGCTCTTTGGGTTCTTTAAAAGAAGATATTTTAAGTTTTTATAATATGCATATGGGGAAAATCAAAGACCCCCTGGGGCGGGGCCAATTTTGACCCCAGGGCTTTTATTTGAACAAACTTGGTAGACACTCATTAGAAGATGTTTCATGCCAAATATCTAAGCTCTAGCTCTTTGGGTTTTTTAAAAGAAGATATTTAAAGTTTTTTTCTTTTGGTTGCCATGGCAACCAGAGTTCTGCATGGAATTAAATTCTTTGAACAATTTTTAAAGGTGACCACCAAAGGAACATTCCTGTGAAGTTTGGATGAAATTGGCTTAGCGGTTTATGAGGAGATGTCATTTAAAGTAAAAGTTTACGGACGGACGCCGGACGAAAAACGATCACAAAAGCTCACCCTGTCACTTTGTGACAGGTGAGCTAAAAATGCAACAAGTTCCAGACAAGGAGTGACGTTTTGCAAATTCTCTTCTAGTTTTTTCTAACATTCCCATTTAATTTTAACCATTAACACTAGGGAATAAAATACCCAGGCAATGGAAAAGACTCAATGAAGGCAATGATTTATGTATTGTACTAAAAAAGGGGTAATAAAATCTGTTAAATTGAGACTGCCAGACAAAATAAAAGTGAAAATGCTAAATAATGAAAACATAGAACATGAAATCTAAGATACCTTTCAGACGTTTTTTGTAACTTATCATACTTATCAAATGAAGGAAGCACCAGACAACCGTCTAACAGAATGATGTTAAGACTAATTTAACAACTTGGAAATTGCACATATATCAAATGATAATTGTAACTGGGCAAGTGTGAGAGCACATTGCAAGGTGTTTACTTGAATGTGTGCGATGTCAATGTTTTATTAACTTACAAAGCAAGACCAGCCTACAATTTCCCTACAGTCTGAACAAACCAGTCTACATTTAAAAAATTATGTCCCTACAGCCTACAATTCCATCTATAATTTCTTGCAGCATGGGGCAGTTTAAACCTATCTATTTTAGCTTTTAGCCTAATGGTAGCAACAGATTTTACCCATTCAGCCAGGGCTGACCAAGATCAGTTAGAACATCTGTGCAGTTTGATTATGTTGGAAGCTATAACCTTACTCAGTTACTGAAACACTCAAATACTTCCTGGGAACAGCCACCGGTACTAAGCAATGCAGTGTAATTAAAGTTTCTTGCTCAAAGAAACAACCGGATGCCCCATGACGAGGCTTGAACCCACACAACCAGGATTCCAGCAATGCTAGATTTCCTTCCTATATAAAGAATGGAGATAAGCACCAATGATGATTTATTAAACAAGTAAAAAATACAAACTTATGTCTGCAAGAAATTCCTTGTGCTAGTGTAAAGTTACTACCAAAACATAAAATTGCAATAAATAAATACAAGCCCAAGTAGAATACTCAAGGTACCCATTTGTGAACAATTTTATGCTACAGACAGCTAAAAAACATATCATAAACTTTCCAAAACAAAAAAATATCAACAAAACTAGTATGCAACAATGGTAAACAAAGGCAAAATAAAATAACTCAACATATGGCTTATTTTCCATAGATCTAAAATACAAAAAAAATAGAACATGTATAAAGTAAAAGAGGCCACAGGGAAATCTATGTTATTCCTAAATGTTCACGTTTTGAAGATTTACACTGCTCCCTCATCTGTAGAATGTGACATGTTAAATGCCATCTTTTAATGTAATTTCACTCCCAAAACTCTCCTAAATCTATTGAACAAAGATTAAAGTCTGGCATTTGAAAATGTGTGCTAAATAAATCAATTTTAGAGGAATAAAATTTGACAGTTCTCATTAATTTGACGTGTCACAAAAAAGGAGGAAATTTCATTTATCAAAACTAATTGGGCGATGCACTTTACAGAAGGAAATGGGAGTAGCACAAACTAAAATTACTGTCTACAGGTCTCTATATTGATCTAGATTTATAAAGGAATGATATTTTCATGTTTTAAAATCATCTAGAACCGAAACAGCCATCCAGATGTTCGGATCGTTGTTGTATTATTAGTTGGCTGATATAACGTAAGCATTTTTTGCAACCCTTTTCAGACTGTAATGATGTGTGATATTTATACCTGACATGTAATTATTGATTTTTTTGTGGTCCGCAGAGATTATAATGTGTATTGTCAAACTAAGGTATGATATAGAGGTGTCAACCCATGTCTATGGAATATCTCAACAAATGCATTTATCACATTTTATGACAAGTCTTTCATCTCATTATTCTGAAATATTTTATACAAATATCCGGATCTGAAAATCGGCTCCGAACACCGATTCGTGATGTGAACTTTCATATATCTGGACTCCAAATGACATCCCTACTAGACTATCCCCTACCCAAACTCCCAGCCCATTAAACAGTATTACTTATGTCTACCATACCATTGACAGATTTAAAACATAAAGCATGTAAGATCAATAATCTGAAGTGTTGATCAGTGAGTGTTATATTGCTTATCAATAATTTCAAGACCCAACAATGCTTGTAAATCTGTGAGGTTTGTGATGAGAAACAAAGATAATATGAATCTTACACTGGCTGCCGGTACAGACCGGAAAATCTAGCTCGAGGGTGACTGTTAACGGCGTTAACGAGGCTCTGCCGAGTTTCCACTAAACAGTTACCCGAGAGCTAGATATTCCTGTCTGTACCAACAGTCGGTGTTTGATTCTTTTTCTTGAATATTACTTGTCAATTATTTTTGGAACAGAAATTATGAAAACTGATATTCTAATTACGCACTTTTTTCTTATAGTAGCGTATGAACATACAACTTCATTCATAACGGAAAAATGACGTCATCCTAAGAACGCGATTCATTCATAAAAGGCGCGTGTCAATGACGTCATTTAAAACACGCGACTCGTCTTACATGGGGGGTGTAAGACAGAGTTTTATAGCACCGGTGAAAACGGTAGATAATCCTGTCTGATATGCAAGAAAATACAGTCAACTCTCGTTATCTCTAAGTAATCAGGACCATTCAACAAATTCTCGAGATAACGAAATGTCCACATAAAAGTGTAAGGGTTTGAACCAGATAGAAAATGATATTTACAAAAGATATGTGCATTCTTAAAGTCAAATAAGCTAAAAATGATATCTCCATTTCTTGTTTTCCGAGCCTTTTGTATCAAGATAATGAAATATAGAGAAAAGCGATGTCGAGATAATGATAGTTGAATGTAATCTGTCTGCAGTAAAACAAAACAATCACCCAATAAGAGACAAATTATTAACATCATCCCCCAGTGCAGAAACAGGTTAACTCCTATCAAATTATACAAGGAGTTAATATATTACTACACCAAGATGAAGATATATATTGTTCTTGCAATACATTTATTACAATATATCATTATATGTACAATCAAACTTATCATGTAAATGTGAAAAAACAAGATAGGAAAGTGCTTAACCCTTTTCTGGCTTTTTATCCAAAATGGACTTGTCTATATTTCAATCTGAACCTTTTCCAGCTACAAGACCCTTAGCATAAACTGGGGAAAAAATAATCAGCATTTTGGGAAATAAAAGAAAAAAAATAAGTTAATAAACTACCTTTCGCATGTGTTCATATAACCTGTTAGCTTTTTATTAGAATCAAATAAAAGTAGTTAAATTTTTCTCAGAAAAATTCTTTAAAATCATGCAGTTTTCCTCCAAAAAATTGAATTTACATCAAGTTTTTTTTCTTCACCTTTTGCAAATATAACATGTAATTTTCCCCCAAAATTAAGGGCAGGACTGCTTCCCCAACCCGTAAAAAAAAAGCCCTGTCAGAAACAATGCTAAAATTTTAATTTTATACCATTACTTATAAAAATCTTATTCAAATACCAAACTGATTTCAAAACCTCTATATTCATAACCAATTGAAATAATTTCAAATTTGATCTTTCCCTTCATCATATATTTTTCAGTTATTCAAGTAAAATGATCAAGGAAAATCTTGAAAATAAATTTGATGTCCTTCATCACTAAGTCACTGATATGCTTTAACATAAGGGAGACTAATATGTAAAATATTTTTCACTGTCAATCCACAGTTATCTCTCTTATGAAAAGACAAATAACTTTGTAACCAAAAATCATGTTCATAGAATTTGAAACTGAATCAACTGGAAAAATAGCTAAAAACAGCAATTATAACAGCTAAACTTTTTCTTCAAAACAAACAAGCTAAAAATGTAATTTCATCGGGGAATTTATTATAAACTTATACATAAAAACAAAATGTAAAACAATATACATGAATACTAAACTGCAAAGCCATTTCTTGCCATAATAGGCGAAACATAAAATGCATAATTCTTATATTTTACCTTGATAACTTTAGCCAGGGAGTCAGCACCTTTTGATGTCAAACTACACCCAGTGAAATTAACTGAGTTGATAGAAGTGGAATTCTTGATTCCCTTGCATACAACTGAAACATAGTAAAACAGGGAAGATATAAAGGATATTGCATGAGTATAAGTTTAATACTGAATTTATTGGATGAGTTGAATAAAACTATATTGTGCGAGCCTCTGGCTAGCATGATATTGCTTTATTCAACGAGTTTGGTAAATTCAGTAATGAACTTATACTAATTTAATATTCTATCTATCACATACTAAATATAAAGACTGTTTAAAGCGAAAACGGGTCATTTCTCATTGACGCGCCTATAGTGTATAATACTTACATTTAGCATGTCTTTACACTGTGTTAATATAACGCAAATGACATCATGTCAACCTAAATGCACAGCTGTGCAATACCATTTTTTACAGATTCACGAAAGCGACACATATATGTGATAAGTAACCTTTAAATTCCACATAGCTATTTTCGATCATAACAAAGCAATCTAAAATGTAGGTCCTAGGCATAAGCGTTCTTTGGTTTTTGTTTGGAAACCGTTTTTACCTACAAGGTCAATGTGACCTTGACCTTTGATCTCAAAATCAATATGGCTCATTTTCTGGTCATGAACAATCATCCTATCATCCTATCAAGTTTGAAGTCCCTAGGTTCTTTAGTTATTGATCGAAAACCATTTTTACCTACAAGGTGACTTTGACCTTTGACCCCTTGACCCCAAAATCAATAGGAGTCATTTATTGGTTATGAATAATCATCCTCTTAATTTTGAAGACGCTAGGCCTAAGCGTTCTTAAGTTATTGATCAGTAACTGTTTTTTCCTTCAGGGTCAATGTAAGGTCAGTGACCTTGACCATTGACCCCAAAATCTATAGTGGTTATCTACTGCTCATGAACAATCATCCTACTGAGTTTGAAGATCTTAGGCCTAAGTGTTCTTTAGTTATTGATCGGAAAACTTTTTTACCTACAAGGTCAATGTGACCTTGACCCATTGACCCCAAAATCAATAGTGGTCATCTACTGGTCATGAACAATCATCCTACTAAGTTTGAAGATCTTAGGCCTAAGCGTTCTTTAGTTATTGATCTGAAACCATTTGGTCTACGGACCAACTGACCTACCGACCGACAGACAAATGCAAAGCAATATACACCCTCTTCTTTGAAAGGGAGGGCATAATAATTCAAAAACTGTGGGATACCAGTTAATATACATACTGTCTAGTCCTGCGTCACCTATTCTGCAATATTCTAAAGACAGATGATTCATTGTGCTGTTCTTCACCAATCCCTGAAATTACATTAACAAGAAAATGAAAACTTAAATGTATTCAGTAAGTTGTGACATTTCGTCCCATTGTATTTCTATGGATTAACAAATTGATAATGATTGGGCAGGTGTTCAGTCACAGGAAAACTGTAAAGGTCATATTCGGATTTTCAAGTTTAACTGATGGAGGAAGACTAAGGTTCCCAGACATGCTTTATTACAGGCACAGACTTCCCGAAAGTTAAAACAAGAGCTGGTGGTAGGACAGCAACGCCCGACTATTCTTAGTGCTTGATAGTAAAAAAAGCCTTGATGAAAAGGCAAATTTTTTCTTTAAATCCATATTACAGTTATAGGCCTTGGAGAGAGTCCTATTATGCTCTCAAAGAAGAGTATAAAATTTCAACATGTTTCAAAGCCTTATGTCAATGAATTTTGAAAATATTTGAGGTATTACAAAAACTTTAATGTAAATTCTAAGTCGAAAAAGGGCCATAATTCTGTCAAAATGCTTGATAGAATTACCACCTCCTGTCTACATGTTGGGGTCATGATGGTGAACAAGTGTGCAAAGTTTCAAAGCCATATGTCAATGGACTTTGAAAATATTTAAACTATTACAAAAACTTTAACGTAAATTCTAAGTCGAAAAAGGGGCATAATTCTGGCCAAATGCTTGATAGAGTTACCTCCTCCTGTCTACAGGTTGGGGTCATGATCCATATGTCAATGAACTTTGAAAATATTTGAACTATTACAAAAACTTTAACGTAAATTCTAAGTCGAAAAGGGGGCAAAATTCTGTCAAAATGCTTGATAGAATTACCACCTCCTGTCTACATGTTGGGGTCATGATGGTGAACAAGTGTGCAAAGTTTCAAAGCCATATGTCAATGGACTTTGAAAATATTTAAACTATTACAAAAACTTTAACGTAAATTCTAAGTTGAAAAAGGGGCATAATTCTGGCCAAATGCTTGATAGAGTTACCTCCTCCTGTCTACAGGTTGGGGTCATGATGTGAACAAGTGTGCAAAGTTTCAAAGCCATATGTAAATGGACTTTGAAAATATTTAAACTATTACAAAAACTTTAACATAAGTGGTTACGTCAACGCCGACACCGACACTCGGGTGACTACAATAGCTCTACTGTCTTATTCTTATCGAATAGTCGAGCTAAAAAAGTGTCAGACATTTGGTCTGGCAAACCATGAAAATTTGTCAGACCAAAAACAAATTCTGTCAGACCGAATAAAATTTATCAAAATCAAAGTAAACTTGTGTTTGTATTTCTAAGACAATTTTCGGTTTTAATTTTTTGCCATTTTCTCCTCCCTGTCATACACGAAAGATTCACAGTCCTGCTTCCATTTTTCATTAAATTTTGTCTCAGGTCTATTCTTTTCATCCCTTTACCGCTGTTCTGCACGCTCCTCTAAAGTAGATTTTCGTTTTTTCCCAGGTTTGCCACCTTAAGCGACACCATTTTGTATACATTTGACTTGAATAAAAGCTGGACAGTCAGACTGATCCGGGAATAAAAAATCGTCAGACCGTATCAAAATTTATCGGACATGTCCATGGGACCGACGTATTTTGGGAAGTCTGCAGGCATAAGTTGACCACAGAGAAGAACCACTGACATCCTTTAAGCTTGATGTAAACCATCATCACATAAAATAATCCAAAGTCCCTGGTGGGATTTGAACCCAGTGGTGAGGAGCAAAATGTTTTCAAGCCAATGACCTTAACCATTCAGCTACAAAGGCTCCAAGAAACTGGGGGAGTGATACTCTAAATGTAGGCACTTGAATATAACAACCTGTTTACCAAAGGCCCAAGTGGATGAGAATGCCTCTAAACATTGGGACAAAGGGGTTCGAGCCCTAATGGGATCGTGACAATGTTTCCCCATATATCATTACTCGTAAGTGGTTGTGCGAGTTCAAACCCAGTCAGGGGCAAGCCGTTGTTTCCCTGAGCAAGAAACGTTACATTCATTGCTTAATACTGGTTGGTCACAGGAACGGATTGGAAAGTGTTCAACTAAACTTACAGCTTTTAACAAAATCATACTAAAATTGGATAACTATAAGATGCATAAATTGTTACTTGCTCATAAGGACATTTCAAAGTTCTGGGGAAAATCCACACGGCCTCGGCAGTAAAGATCAAATGATCAAGTCAAAAACTTTAACCATTTAGCTTTTGTAAGGTGAACGAAAGTCGTCGACAGGTGACTGTTGGTGTACTATTTCAGGCATGAGCTTACACAAAAGTAGAACCACAAAATTTTTTTATACAAAACAAATAACTCTCTCGTTAGAAATGTTTCAACATCTCACTCTCTTTGAGAATGGAACTCGTGGCAAAGTAAAGGGAAAACATTTTTAAAACGCTTCTTTAAACCTAAATGATAAATCTGCTGAAATTCCTTAAATGGACTTGTCAGCCTTACATTCCTGAACTGTTCAGTATTAATATGGGGGGATATTAACATAAAAATTTTAAATTGACCAGCCAATGGGATAGAGCCTGGTCAGACTTACAGGGTATGTACAGACTGGCCTAGCTTTATACTGATGGCAAAGACTATGGGGGTTTAACAGGACATTTTTCCTTCTATAACAGGGGTCCATGTTCGGCGGCCGGCCCCTTCACATTTCAGAATTGAACTTTTTTCACAAGGCGGCAGAAAAAAATTCACAATTTCAAAAGAAATTGCACAAAATACCGGGACTTTGTCTTCGAAATTAATTGTTAACATTATTGGCGTGAATAGTATGTCATTTTTTTTCAAAATTTTATGACATATCGCGCTTTCTTTCACAAAATGAACAGGCCCAGACCCCTTAACAATTTTAACAAAAAAATGCCCTGAATTTAATCATGAAATTAACTGACCTTCATCAGTGTTGTCAGGTCCCTCTCTCTCAGTGGTAAACCCTGTAGCTCAAGACATGTTAGATTTGGTGTCACACCTAGACACTCCTTTAATGCTTTACACATTCTATATGTAATCTCTTTAGATCTCACAGATGGTGTTTTACGTTTCTCTATCAATGCTCTCTTCTCTAAAACAAGTAAAACAAATATTCAAAATATAATGTCAATGGGTTTAAAGTCGGTGCTAGGGAGCGTGGACGGTAACTTACACTTTTCCAGTACCGTCTGTGAGCAGACTCAAGCAAACCGGGCCTGCAACATATACAATTTCAGTCATTGAATTTAGCATTGGCCCGGTGGCCTATGGCCAGTGAAAATTAGTTTGGGCCAGTATAAATTTTAAGAAAATTTAGTTAAATATATAGTAGAATAAATTCAAAACTGAAATTCGGGCCAGTTAATTCAAAATCTTAAAGTCAACAACTGCAATTTTATTATTTTGATCATTCTTCATGAATTCCGTTTTCCCTATTTTCCATTTGCTTAACTTTTATCCTCTAAAATAACTTACATAGAATTTTCGGAATTTCCGTCTTTTTTTTAGATTGAACAAAACTTTTCTCGGGGAAATTCTTAAATATGTACCAACTGAAAAGCGAACAATTTAGATCATGATCAAATGGCATCCACTAGGACTCTTGATCTGCACTGGTTGCATGGTTAGATTCAGTTGCTGTCAGAAGGCTAGGAGTTTAATAAAAGATCCTGTATGTTGTAATTAAGGTTTTATACCACATTTAACTTTTTAAGTGAAATTTTATATATGTATATAATTTTGCTTCTATAACAATTTTCAAAGAATATTCAACATATGTACTGCAAATATTTTTCCACATTATATGTAATTATTTAAGTATATGCATTCATTTCTTATTGAAAAATTTGACTTAGACACTATAGAAAATAAATTTCTAATTACCTCCCTTTATTAACATGAAATGTAAATTTGGTAATATCTTTACAAATAATGCTTTCTTGGAACTTACAATAATGATAAATCTTTGAGCATCATATTTATAATATAAAACCACAAAAAATTGAGTTACAGGATCTTTAAAGGTTTTATTTGGTTGTCTGTAATTGGGAAAATACTTGTATCTTAAGCTGTCATTGATTATATCTGAAGCATTTTGATAATGTATGGATATCAGAAGGTTTTTATTTTTATCTGAGGCAACAGATGTGCCATCAAAAACAACCAATTTGGCCAAGGATCAAGGGGGATAATCTACAGGCTGAAAATACAACCAATTTTAACAGCATTTCAACCAATGACAAGGACCATCAATCTGTTAATAATGAAAACCCAGTATTGGATGAAAAATATTGATAATATATTGAGTGTCTTTTTGCTATACTTAACTTTCACATGAAACAAGAAGAGTTTAACAAGCACAAATGCCATATTAGATTAACTTTATACAGACCTTATACAGTTTCATTATTATATGTCGGGCATAAAAAAGTAAATATGCTTACCATTTTCATCAGAGGGTGGTGTATAATAACTTCTTATGGCTACAAACTCTAGACTTTTGTTGATTCTTAATGTGTTTAATACTGGCATCCAGTCATTTGCTCTGTAACATATTTTATATACATATTCACCTTGTAGGAAGTATTCAGTGATTTTTCTCACTTAATTGGGAAGAGGCCTGAGCCTCTTGATTTTGGGAAAAATTATCGCTACAATTGCTGATTTGGGAAGTAAAAAGCTGGTTTAAGTTCAGATTTTTGGGAAAACTGCATGATTTTAAAGAAAATTTCAATTGGGAAGAGGCCTTTTTTCGGAGTCTGTTATATAAGTAGGAAAATCACTGGTATTGCTTGTCAAAAAAGAACGTTTAAAGACACATTCACCAGTATCATAAATTTATACATGTGGTAATCATTTACTGTTCTGGTGGTGGGAAATTACATGTTATGTGCTTCATCCTGCCCGCCACATACGGTTCAGGAAGATATTTGATAGACTTATCTAACTTCTGTGCCACAGGTAGATTGCTATCTACTAATTGCCAAAAAGCAACAGAAGAAAAAGATGGCTCTGCACCTGAGTTCATGTAATTGGCCAATGAGTAACTTTTTTAAATCAAAACCAGACAAAAAAATAGAAACTTTTCTAAAAATAAAAATAGAAGCATTTCTGGGGCATAATGGGCCTTTAACACAAAGCTTTACTCCTAACAAAATTTTTAATTTACCTGATTCTATCTCCATTTAGATCTAACACACCTTGTGAAAGGTGAGCTTTCACTGCTGGCAATGGACATGAATCTTGTAGAGCACATAAATTATCGTAGTGTGTTTCAAAGTCATACGCCCCTCTCTGACGTACCTGCACACTCTCGATCATTGTGATCTATACACAATCTGCACTCTTCTGAAATAAAAGTTTAACACCATGATTAATATCTGCAATAAAGTTTATTAACTAGTCAAATGTACCCACAGTCTTAAACAGTGGTATAGTATTTGACATTTATTTTTATAAATCTGAATGAATTATTTGCTTTTGCTGTTATGTTGTTTATATGATTGGTCAAAGATAGATCTTTACTAATTGTTACACCTAAATATTTTGCAGCCTCAGTGGCAGATGTGTTTGTTTGGGTTTTAAGCCACACCAACACAGTACAGGTCATATAGCGACGTTCCAGCTTTACAGATGAAGGAAGTCATCAGGTGCCCTTCCTTGCATTATTTCAGGCCCAAACTGACACCTGAGTAGAACCACCGATGCTCCAAAAGCAAGCTGGATACAGGAAGATGTGTAACCGGCTAAATAGTTCAGTCAGAGGAGCTGTGGAATGTTAATGCGCGGGTCCTGCTTTTTTGACTTCTGATCAAGCTGTACATTTTCCCATCCCTATCAGAATTGTTAAATAAAGTTATCATACATGCAGTAGAACTACGCTGTCATGGTAAAACATTGGGCACAGTTATAAAACAAAGAAACAAACAATAAGATTGCCAGCTCCCTTTAAATAAAGTTTAGTTTATTTTGTTTTGCAAGGCAGATAGAAAAAGGGGATAAACAAGAAAAACGCATTAAAAATAAGTTAATTATACAACTAAATGAACGTTTGAATACTGGTTATAACTAGCAAACATTAAATTGGTGAGAATTAGTGGTCATGTTGACATTTTGCATATGAAAATGTACGAAAACATCCGAGATTTCCGCATAAAATTTCATGCTTGTGCTCGTTTTGTAAACTTTCAATGGGAATTGCAAATGTTTGCAAACGTTTCGAAGCATAATTACTTCAAAAGTTGGACATATTTGTTAATAAAAAGAAATCAGGTGCTACTGATCTGACATAAGTTTTAATTTACATGTTAAATACTCGGTAACTAGGCCTTAGTTTCTTGTAAACTATCTTTGAAATCCCAGGAAATGGCGCTTCAGCGGAAGTGTAATAACCGAAATGAAACGAACTTGGAGAGTGAGGCGAACTGGTTTTTATTAACGGATTATAACAACTAATGACAAGGTGTCATGAAGTCAAATTTCATATTTTGTCGCTAATAATACTGATTAAAGAATTATATAATGAGATTATTATCATTATTTGATTTACTACCAAACTGCATTTATCTTCCGATGTTTATTAATTCAATTTTTACCATCTTCATGTTTATAAATGTTAAATTCTTACCTATTGCACTGTATTGTAAAACAAGTTAATTATTTGTTTTTGTTTGTTTGTTTTGGGGTTTACGTCACATCGACACCGTATAGGTCATATCGCGACGTTCCAGCTTTACTGGTGGAGGAAGACAATTCTGTGCATTATTTCAGGCACGAACGGGCACCTGAGTAGAACCACCGACGTTCCGTAAGCTAGCTGGATAGCTCCCTCACATGAAAGAATCCAAAGTCCCTGTCGGGATTCGAACCCACAGCGGTGAGGGACAAGTGGTTTGAAGTCAACGACCTTAACCACTCGGCCACGGATGCCCCACAAGTTAATTACTTTTGGAGATTCTTTTCAAAACTTTATTCTTTTTCTTTGAAGGTGATTTGGATAATGTTGAAGTTTTGGCTTCCGAAACTTTAATAACCGCTTTTTATATTTGGTGATAAGGCATTGATTAAAGGTGTCAGGCCCTTTACCAAATCTACATGTAACTGACGTTAAAATAAAAAAAAAATAAGTACACTACCATTGAAAGTGCAATAACAGCAATCAACTTTGCCTATTTATTTCAGCAAGCAGTAACAAAAAAAATAAAGTTACAAATAAAACAAAACAAAAATATTATAACTAAATAACGTCACGATTATCCAATGAAAAGTTATATTTATATAAAAATATTATAAACTTTATATGTATACACGACTGCGGTTAAAATTATTTAGTAAGAAATTTTATTTCTAAACAATCATTTATTTACGGCCAAATAACCTGTCAAAAATCATTATAACTAATAACATAACCAGTCAAAAATCTTTATTACAAGCGTTTACATTAAGTTTGTATTACTCATACTGGCTATCCTTTAATGTAAAAGTATATTCAAGGGCGTGCCATGCCGCTTTTAATTATATAATCAGAAATCGGCATTGGTATATTGGTATAACACGTGATCACGTTTTACTAGTTCATGTTAATTAATGACTGGCACATGGTTAAAACTTATATTCATCAGATTTTTGGAATTCCCTGCGCTTCACTAAATTTCCTTTCGGTGGGCATCAAGGTTAGATATTATGACACCTAGTTTCCGCCGGTTCTTTTAGGGTCTAGGTTGTCAAATGCATGACCCCTAATATGAACTTGGAGATAAAAAGCACTATATATGTTTGTACTTTACTACGCATTTCAACTCGATTTGTGCATTCATGCACGGACAATAATTAATACTTAACATTTAGTAATATAACGAAATAGATTGTTGAACATGGATTCTACTATACGTGTAGTATATAATAATACCCGGAACTTTCGGTCTTTTTAAACGTGGACTATTCTATGATAATTACGGCAAAATGAATTTCAATGAAAGGAAAATGGAAAATATAATTATATTATTTTAAACATCAAATAAACACGTTTCTGAGATGCCAAAGTAAGTGAAAGGTTGTATTCAATTGAACAGTGCGTTATGTCAAGTTAAATCCTCAAAATATATATAAATGGTATCGGGCACAACGCCCGGTGTTGCAATCGAATCCACCGCCGTCTGTGTTGTGATCATTTTTTTTTATTAACTTTATGAGCAGGCAATAACAATTAATAAAAGTTCCAAAATATGGTGGTTTTGTGCAAGTATCATACATACGTTGTGATGCCGTAGTATGGGGTTGTTTTGCACACATTTATACGTGTTTTAACCACAATTAGGCTTAAAAGTTGCGTCCTCTCGTCCAACTGTACAGAAGTGTTTGCATAAACGGCAATGTATTGCATAGTGTGCGTGTAAAAAGTTGAAAGACTACATATTAGGTTTCCCGTCTCACTAATTTAAACATAAAACAAAATCCAGTAATCAACGTACTAACAACAGTAAACGGCCATTTTTTATCGAATATTCCATCGCCGCTACGATGGAACCACCGCTTTTGCGAAAGCTACGGTCAGTGTGATTCTATACGTTATTAATAACACCATATGTATTATTTTCACATTATTTATGGAAGTAGGTCTCTTGTAAAACCGTCTCATTGATTTTAAATTCTACTTCAGATTAATGCGCTGTTAATTATTAAAAGTTGACTTCTCATGAGGTGAAGGTCAGAACGTAGAGCATAACGTCAATAAAGTGTTAAATCATAAAGTCACGTGATGGTGCGTCGATATTAATTAAGCATTGATCACTGATGCCGAAAATGCAACATTCAAACATGTATAAAACTCGATTCTTGGATAGACATTTAGAGAAAAAAAGCAACAAAAAACACATTCTTGCATTTTATAACTTTTATCCAAATTTCCTTTAGCTGTACTAAAGGCCCACTTTTTTGATGATTATCCTTTAATTAATAATTTTCATGTCCCAAACAGGACAGCAACCTCAAAGGAACTGCTCTTTTTATTCTTGTCTTGTTCAGGTTGAAATCAACCTGGACCAAGATTTTTCTGTACGTATTTTTTTCCGATTTCTCATGGGTATTCCTTTTTGTATTAAAGTATTAATTTAAATGTAGATGGTGATACGCATCCTGCGGTTGAATACTTCAAAACACATATACTGTTGTTTATTTGTTTTATTTGACTTAGTACGCTTAAAAACGGAAAAATCGATAATGTAACAGGCTCGATTTGATGGAATGTATACAAAAGAAATAAATTAATTAAATAGATAAATAACCAAATAAATAGATAAATAAATAAATAAATAAAAAAATATTTTTTTTGCTTAACATTAAAAATGATTGATCGTGACATTTTACATATATGTAAATATTAGCTATTGATATAGATCTACCAGAATAACTATATTGTCTTGGTCAAAACATCAATAAGATAAAATCCATATCGTCGGTAACATATACATGTACACAGTTACAAAAGAAAATGTGGACTTGGTTGCTTGAAAATTCTGTAAATAAAATTCTTGCAAATACTTCCATTTGTACAATAATTGCATATTTGATACACAAATTTGCAGAAATGTATGAGTGACTTTGCATTTAAATTTGAAATTAATTGTCAGCATTGTGGCTTCGAATTAATAGTATCGAAAGGCGAAAACTGAAAGTTCCATTATTGTGATAATTTAACTATTGTTCTGTCAAATAACGTGATAGTAAATCAATATCCGTTGCATTCATCCCGTCACTGGATTGACTAAAGTGTTCGATACTTTATGACATTGTTGTACGGGATTGCATGATATTCCTTTTAAAATATTTCAAAATCTAAAGGCAAAGACGCATTACACATATATGAACAATTCTGCAACTTTCATTTTTCACCCCTCACCTGTTTTTAGTAAGCAAATTTCAATAACATGGAAACAACCGAAGTCAGTATATTTCTACAAATGTTGAAACTAAATATAACAATTACTAATAAGTTCTGTAAAAAGTATACAAGATTTCCAAATAACCTAGTGCACACTTTTCTTTTGCAACTGAGTATACAATCTTATATTCTACGAACATTATTTTTTTTGTAATATCTCTGTTGCGGAAGTAAAGAAAGATAGATACACGATTTAAATGAATTGTTCAATATTTTTAGTTCATAATTGTGAATATTATACTTTAAAAGGACTTTTTGCATACTTATAAGCCCCATAGAATAATATACCAATCTTTTAAACATGATACGTTTATGCAATGAAGGAAAAACTGTCTTTTCAATCAGTCTCAGTATTTGTTAGAAATCGTGCTTTAAATGTTTCAATAATGCTTTGACTTTCGAACATATGTATTAAAAACATGCCATCGATTGATACAATATAATATATCCTTTAAATTTTCGACAATTAAGAAAAAAACAACAATTTTTTTTAATCAGCCTAGAAAGAATCGTACTTAAAGGCTTTAATGTATACAAGTTCGGCAATTAAGGAAACACTCTATCTTTGAATCAGCCTAGAAATCGAACACTTTAATTTGTAAGCTCTCGACTCATACAATACATCCTGTAAATCTTACATGTTCGCCTCTTTCGGATAAAATGATTTTTTTTCTCAGAGTACCGATTCATGTTTAGGTTTATATTGGGCTTTCCGCTTGTATTTGTCTGAGTGGCGAAAAAAACCTGCTGTTTTACAAAGAACTCAAAAGGCCGAGTTTACGTAAACAAATCTTATCAAAAGAATATTTCCAATATATTTGCGAAACAGAAACTTGTTTAAAGCTTATCTCATGTAACATAGCACGCGTTCAACAACGCAGAAACTTTTCTCTTTTTATTTATTGATCATTATAAATTTATCGAGACTGTGAACCCGACGTTTGTTTTCTTTAACACCGTTTCTATCAAAAGAGACAGATTCACACATTTTTCTTAAAGATAATTTACAGTTGTCAAAGACTCCGAACAAAATTAGATAAATGAATGAATGATTTTTTTTATCTAAATTGAAACAATGTGATGAATAAAATGGTTGTCAGTATTCTACCTTTTTATTTTTTTACCGCCTCCGTGGTCGAGGGGTTAGAGTCGATGACTTCTAACCCAGTTACCTCTCTGGCGTGGGTTCGATACCCGGGAGATGCTTTGGTAGTTTAGCGCAGAGGAAGGTTGTTAGGAAACTACCCGCCTATATATGACTGAAATACTGTTGGGAAAAGGCGTAAAATGAAACAAACAAACGAACAAAAACCTTTTTATTTTTTTGCCCCTGAATGTACATATTGTTTTGCAACTAAAAAGGGTTTAAGGTTTAATATTAATTGTAGTATTTAACCTTAAGTTTACAGTAATCCGCTCCATTTTAAATTTGATGTGAATGTACTCT